AATTCCCCAACGCTTTTTATCCCAGCATAAACGTTTGATCCAAACCGTATCTCAAAACAGTAACTTTATACTCTCCGCGCGCACTGTTTATTTCTTCACCTCATTTTTGTTATTCTCCTTTTCTCCAGTGTTTTGTCGGCACTGTCACCACCTTCATTCCATTATTTTTATTTACCTCTCCTTCCCTCCACCCTCTTCCCCTCCTCCCCCCACCGCCCACCTCATTCATTTTCATTCTCACATTTTTTGTTTATCCACTGAATTTTTTATCCTACCACTGGCAACCCCTTTTGTCCTGTTTCTCTCAATTCTCTCTCGTATTATTTAACCATTCCCGTACGTCGGCCTGTCCTGTTCTGTTTCACCCGTTGTATCCCTTGGTGCGTGCAACGATGGCCTATCGTTATCTCCCGCGAATATCATGGACATACGCACCAACCGGCTGTCCCCATCACCACCCAAACTCAACCAGTGGACTATGTTTCTTATAGATGTGCACTTCACACTCCAACATTGGAATGTTAGCGTGATTCAGACTTACCCATGACAAGGATCAGACGTTCCCTCCGGTTGAGTTGTGGAGTCCAGGGGTGAAGGGAATTTCTCGTTTCAATTAGTATCCTCTTGGTATCCCAGTATGTACATCCAAATACGCGTTACAAGGGACGTGAAAAGATTTTTCACTGAACTTAGCTTCTTATTTATACCAGAGACCGCTGGTGCGATCATCGCCAGCCATTAAAGGAGTCCCTCCTCGACTTCCTCATCGACACTCTCGTGTCTCACTTTTTTGCCGGCCTCTCGATCTGCCCTGATTTCTCACCGAAGGCGAATTCAATTAACGCCTCCGGCTACTGCTCGAGTCTTTCAGACAGTATCGAAATCCTCGGTGACTATCAGAGTTGGGGGAACAGGGCTGCTAGGACACGGCGAATGATACCGAGGCGTAAATCAACATTACTCTGCATTAGAGCTGAATTTCTGTGCTGGGTGGGAGACTTTACCGCTAAGGTAAACTCTCTGGTCTCAAGGGGCACACGTTCGATTGTGTGCACGACTTTGCTGGTATTTGTGGACTGTACACCAGTGCTCTCCGGACTGTGCCAGGGTCGAATCCGTGCACTCAACTTCAAAGTTCCCACTGCATTCAATATTTCTCCAATGATCAATGTTTCCCAGAACTCCATTATCAATTCCGCTCCCCAGGACTTGAGGAAAAAGCTCCCAGCTCTGGTACTCAAATTGGATTTGACCAGCACGTCCACCAACTTGTCCATCGCCTTGTCCACCGTTCAATGACATCTGAATCTAAGTCAATAACTTTTTCACCACATCAATTAATCCGGTAAAATTATAAAGATCCATTGGTTATAATGAACATCAAGCGATTACCATAATGTACCTCGAATATTTATCTGGAATTAGTCGCCAAGTCGTAGCTCACAGCGGGCAGTATTGGATTAAGCTAGTTGGATTTAAGTGCAGGGTGATATCCTTCTGGGCGAGCCATCCCTCATCTCAAGGCTAGGATACGCAGATTAATCGTTATCTCCGGGATCCATATTGTTTGGTAAACGTTCGAGGTACCTCTATCGCTCTCTCCCACGCGTTCTAAAAGAGAAGGATGGCTAGGGGATCCTGGAATAAAGTGCGAAAGAGGGATAAAGAGAGATGTGAGCCAGTAGACTCCCTTGGGAGGTTGGATAGCCGTATCCGAAGTGACTTTTTACATTGTACCTCCTGGAGTGAGAGCAATAGCACATATGGAAGGGGAGAATCAGGTGGAATTGCTCCCCTGCCGGTCACCGACAAGTCCCCAACCTTGAAATATCAAGACAACTTGGTGGCTTCAATCTAGATATCTCAGAGGTGAATTCCCACAGACTTTATCATCATCATCGTACTCCAGTACATCTGTATCAGTCGATTAATTACACACTGATTGGTTGTTACGATATCCTAGTGAATAATGAGTAATGGGATACGATGCGAATTTGGTAGCAGCCACTTTGGATTAACTTGAGAGAACGACAGTTGAAGATCGTGAAGCAAGATGATGGATTCCCGTCAATTATGGAGGGAACACCGTATTGTTTTACCGAGGGGGGAACATTGATCGATGGTTCCAGTAGTCGTGTAACTACTTGCTTTCTTGTGACACTGTCCGACACATTCTCGTTGAGGATAAACTCATGGCGTGTCTTTCGAAACTTCTTCTGGCATTTCTGTCTCAAGCATTAAAACATTAAGTATAGCTGGACCGTGGTTTTTGGTGTTGTGGATGCCTGGGCAATTCATTTTTGCTGATTATTTGGTGAAAATTTTTGCCGACGAGATTGAAATCCGTTTGACTGGTTCAGTCCTGTGGAGCTGCCATCTGCCTTGGTGGGACACTATTTCCGTCAATTCGGCGGTATTCTCCCATCCGTCAGCTGACACACAGCAAGTACAAGCGTCTGGTATTCTGAATGGCGTACTGCCACTGTCTGCCAAGGTGTCTCAATGTTAATAAATATCCAGATGGTGGTTAATGTAATGAAATAAAATTTCTAAAGCTGTTTTACATTCTGAGGCTGCTGGGATCCATCGGGATTTGACCCGTCCCCTGTTCTTCTTGTCGCCATCTTCTTGGAAAAAGGAATGCGAATTAGGCGTGTCGACTCGGGCCCAACGCCCCGTTGCTCACGAGTAATTCTCCACAAAGTATCACGACAAGTAGCACCTAGAAATAGCATTTGATTCCGTGGACGGTGGTTCGCATGGTTTCGCGTTAAAGGCATCACTAAATCACCCAAAATTAATGTTCAATGTAACGTAAAGCATTCCCCACATCTGGCTCTCTCTCTTTTTCCAGTATTCAGTGATTTTTATCGGGAACAACCATCCCCAAATTAAATCGACCCACCACAATTACCAGTTCGCGGTAGTAGATTTTCTTGGTAAAACAGTGGAGCTACTTGACTCATTCTCTTCCGCAGTCTAACCCAACAACAGAATGATGCAGAGTTGTTTCGCATGGGGGGCTAGATGAGGAGAGTAAAATTCACCAGGGCGTAGACGCATCGCAAATACATTTACATAACTTTGCATACATGTTTTGATAATTGAGCCACCCTTCACCCCCCCTGGGCTGTCCCACTGCGCTACAATAACTCACAATGAGCCTGTTGGTCGTTGAAAAGCTGTTCTGCTAGGAGTATACCATCCAACAACCGAGTTAAAATTTAAAAACTAAAAATAAACGATAAAACGGTATAAAATACGGGAAAAAGAATGGCATGCATTATGCCAGAGTAAATAGCAATGGGCGAAGGGAAAAAAATAATGTACGACGTTAGTGTCGTCGGAACCAGATACATGGAGACGAAGAGTGAGCTCGGGTAATATCACGTTGGGTGTACAATAATGCAAGTGATGAAGTGGCTTCCAGCTTATTCTTGGCAGCCGAGTTGCTGGTTGAGAAGTTTTTGGCGACTACTGGGCAATATAGGAGCATTGCAAAACCGAAAAGGGGTTGGTTGAATTTGGGATATGCCACTAGAGCGTATACGCATGGCAGAGAGATACATCTCTCTGGTTACACCCAGAATTGTGTGCACACGTGGATGATAGTGTGAGAAGTTGGCTTGCTTGGAAATCAGTCTCTCACTTATTCCCAAGCCTCGGTGCGAACAAGTTATCGGGCTCTCGAACAGTTTCTCCCTTTCTACGTGGTATATTCGTCCTCGGGGGAGGCCCTAAAACAAATATTTGGAGTCTGGCCACTGAAAGCTTTGACCGAGCCAACGAAGCACCACTTGATTTCCTCCTGTTGACGTATATCTCGGTATTTCATTGGCTTTATTTCGTCTACTCCAATGGAGGCCTTGAACAACCCATCAACCCTCACTCAAAATTCTCCAATTTGACCCACGATTTTTTATTTGTATTTTCATTCATTTCATTTTCATTCATTTGGATTAGAACACTCATGATCACTGGACACCAACCCCTGATCATTGAAATTCATCCTGCGTCATCAAGCTCCAGCTAAAACTCCCCGAGGTGTGTCGAGAGCGGAAGATGAATGAAAGTGGGAAGTCATCAAAGTGCGAAGATGAAACATCGGATCTTGGGGACAAGAAAAAGTAGATTGGCTCGCTTACGAAGAAGCATCGTGCACCAGTCTAACTCACCACTCGCCAGTATCTCTGCGTCCCGCGTGAAATTAATTAGTTAATTAAGCATCCAGACGATGGTGTCCATCCAATTAAATCCCTGGCTGAGTCCGCACGCGCCCCATGTGCATTATTCCGAGAACTGGCTTTCTCTCTTCCTGCCTTTACCCATTTTATTCATCCGATCTATGAAGGGTCTCCCCACTCATCACCACCTGAAAATAATAACAACTAAATAAATAATAATAAAGGAGAGATAACGAAGGAGGATGAAAAATTCAGTGGTTAATGGGGATGAGAATTTCAGGTGAAAGGGGTTGTGTTTCCGTGGGAAAGGAAACACTCCTGAAACAGAGCCTGTAACATCCACCCACTAGGGCACCCCTTTTACTCGAGGGGGATCGTCGGAGCGATTTGTCCCGTCTGTTAATTAGTGAAAAAACGGAGTATGAATCTCGAGCGATCGTATATTACCGCGGGCGTAATGGATGGGATTACAGCTGCTGTGTTAAATTAAACCCAGAGAACGCTACGCCGCTATTGCACACGGGTTATACCGACGTTCATCCACTCGATATAGAACAACTATCGTCTCTCTTCTCTCCCTGTTATCAATTTTTCCGACACTTTCATCGTCTATTTTCATGACGCACTGACATTGCCCTTGAATTTTTCCCGCGACCGCCATTTTCCGGGTTAAAAAAATTGTAATTGGTGGGTTTTTTAAGAATTTTCAAAAAATTTCTGGAAAATTATTTCAGAATTTATTTTATGAAACAAAAAAAATTGGAAAACAAAACAATTTTAGTTTTTGGAAACGTTTTGAAAAAATTTTCAAAAATTTGAATAGGATAATTTTTTTTATAATAGAGTATTGATAAATCAAAAAATTAATCAAAAATTATATTCGCAAAAATTTTTAGAAAACTGTAACAAGAATTTTTTGAAACAAAATTTTGAAAAATTTTTCAAAACATTTTCCGAAAATACAATTATTTTGTTTCCCGATTTTTTTTTTGAAAAGAAAAATTTTCTAAAAAGTTTTCCAAAAAATTTTTGACAATTGGAAAAAATAATCCGATTACAAAATCGTTTCAAACAATAAATAATAATGATATGACAACAGAATAATAATAACAAATCAATATAAAATATCATAAACGAAAAAATCTGTGGATAATAAAATAAATAATGTAATTGGATATTTATTTACGACTGATCTGTTGATAATGCAAAAATAGCGCCTGTTCATCAGAGCAATCACTAGAACAAGATTTTTTATGCAATATTAATAGATAAACTCGCGTCACAGATTAATCACTCAGACATAATGGGCTAATGACTCTATAAAACTCGAGTGTTATCCATAATTCCAATTAAATAAATCCTTCCGGCCTCACCACTGGACAATTAACACGTTTTTCCATTTATCTGTCTCGATCAATGAAACGCCTTGCGATCACTGGGCAAATGCATTCAATTCCCCGGTAAATTTTCAGTGCAGGAGGGAAATACTGGCACGATGAATGAATGCCAGTAGTCGGCTCATTATACGCATATCCCGCTATCAGTTCCATCCAGTATATATCAGCGGAGCGTGGAGTCAGTGCAATGAGAGAATCACAAGATATATAAATTGTTGAATATAAAGCGAAGAATTATATGTAATTCAGCGATGTTAATTGAGTTAAATTATGTAATCAATCATTCTTGATTTTATTAGGTATCCGAATTGCTCGTTTTGCATTATAAAATCTTCTGCATGAAAAATAATTATTGTAGATTTTTTTTTATAAACATTTTATAACTCGTGTTTTTTCATTTTCTTCCCGATTATTGATTATCGATTTATCTCGAAAACTATCGATTTGCGGAAGAAGTGTTGAGGAGCTTTTTTGTCGCTGACTAAATTTTAGATGGATAAGATCTTTTCATATTTTTTTGTAAAATCAATAGTTTTGTGGATAATTTGATATCTCAGGATTTAGAATAATTTTTGAATGGATTAAAAAATTGTTAATAAAATCAGAGTTATTCCATGCGATGCTCTCTCTCAGACTCATAAAAATTCCACTCACCCCATATATCGCAATCATATTTGTAACAACATGAAGCAACATCAATTTCGCGTGACTAGACTGCGCATTTTTTACTGCTGACTCCATAAATCTCGAGATCCCATGGAAAACCCTTTCTAGGAATTGTAAAACCCAACGAATCCGCGGCCTAAGTGCGTGATAATCTGACCAATCACATCCAGATCACACCATAGCCTTACCAAATTAACAAATTCCCCCAGAACAATAAAAAAAAAAACCGTCGACACGAACAAAAAAAAAATAATAATAAATTCCCAGAGGGTTCCCCTCCAGATATGCACTTAAAAAAAAAACCGAGAGATAACAATCATCAATTCCTGAGCAAAAGGGAAAACAGGAGAATGTACAGACAAGACGAATCGTTAGTTTGCAGTGGGGCAATACGTTTGTGGGTTATCCCGAAGAAGACAATTAGGACCTTCCGACTCTCGAGGACAAATCCCCGTTATCTATAAGGGAGACGGAAGAGTTTTCTTTCACTTCAATACATTGCGAGGAGCATCTAGGAAATGGCGTGTGTGTACGTGGCTGAGGGTTCCGTTCCAGAAGTCTCTCCTGGCACAGAATAAACGTAGACAGGGAGTAGTGAAGGAAAAAAAAGGGGGTGGGAGGGTGAGGGGGTAAGAGGGTGGGTGAAGGAGGGAGTTTTTCTGTTGTACGTATATTATGTGTGGGAGTCCGAAAGAAGGACTGGAAAAGAAGAGAGGCTCTAGCCTCTCTCACTGAGAACGCAAGGAAAGATAGATTACTCCGCCATTCTTGCAATTTCCCTGTCGTATCGAGGCTCGTAAATTCCCGGTGAAATATGCGAAGGGGCGCCTGGTGCGGGCAGCACGCTGCTGCTCCTGCTCTACCACTCTTCCCCGCGTTCTCTATCCACTCTATCTCGCTCTATCTCCTTTGCCACTTGTACACCACCCTGTAGCTCCCCCTCGCACACAAGTACACGGGAGACCAACCCCTTGATAGGCCCTCGGGTGTATACCAAAGGGGCTGTCTCTAACTGGTGGATACTACAACGCCAACGCCATATCATTTTCAAGGACTGCCGAATAATAAAATTAGGTGAATTTTTATTATTCGTTTTTTCACCGGTTTTTTTGGTGAGACTTTTTTTTTTTTAGTCAGTCGAGTTGGGGAAGTGGGAGGGATCAAGTTGGGACTTGAAAATCTTTGGACTTGATTCAAGTAGACTTAAAATATAATCGGAATATTTTTGATGAATTTTAAAATAATTTCTGGAAAACTTCGCAGGAATTTTTTTTGAAACAAAAAAAAATCGGGAAAAATAACAATTTTATTTTTGGGAAAGGTTTTGAACAATTTTTCAAAAATTTGAATAGGAAAAATTGTTTATAATGTATATCTCACGAATTGCAAATTAATCTACTACTATCCAATTCATAAATATAATTTCCAAAAAATTTTCCAAAACATTTCCCAAAAATACAATTGTTCCCAATTTTTTTTGTTTCAAAAAAAAAAAAAATTCTGGAAAGTTTTCCAGGAATTCTTTAAAAATTTGGAAAACATCTTTGGATTACAATTTTTTTATCCGAGATACTACGTTTCCTCTTCGAATAATATAATGTTCGACGGGTAATGAAGTGTGACTCAATTAATCTTGAATTAATTTGAGAATCATTTCCGGAACACGCAATCGCGGAGAGGATTACGCATTCAAGAAATTTAGCATTTACAACCCTTGACAGAAACAGGACAGCCTAATTTTATGTTCTCTTCAGAGAGTTCTCAGGGGCATCGTAACCACTAGGTGAATTGCAGACTGTCCGAAATAGCAAAGCGGAAGGGGATCAGGCAAGCAGCAATGGCTTTATTCTTTCCACCAAGCCCCAGTTAAATCGACACAAAATCTACTTTCCATTATAACTTGGAGGTTGCCATTTGTGGTGTTGTTCCCAGCGGTGCTTGAAACAATTAAATCGTAAAATAGGAGAAAGATAGTGGCAATATTCCGCCGTGAGACGAAAAACTTCATTAAAGTCGGAAAAACCCAGGACAATGAATTTTCTCGAGAAAAATCTCACACATCAAATCTCTTTTCCGAGATTGTACCACGAAAATTCACTTCCCTCTGTCCACGTCTACCGTATTTCCACCTATTCCTAAACATATATTCACTCCCAGGGTACCCTCTTTAATTAGGCCACACGTTCTACTCTCCCCAGCTGATTTTTCCCTGGAAAACCTACCACCCACACATACATATTCAATAGAAGTCCGTGACCAGAGTTACTTAATTCCTCACGTGTACAGAATTACACCCCGAAAAATCATGAATGGTGCAAACAAAAGTTTCCCTCCGCCTTTTCTATCTCCACCCTCCGACTGTATAAACCAATATTGCTGAAGCTCACGTATCCTGGAGAATCATAAATTTTTATTTATCCCCAGAAAAATAAAAGCGCATAAATACCGTGAGATATTAGTATCATGAAAAACGATTCTTCGTGAAGTTTTCCCCCTGGCGCGTACAGGGGGCGGAGAAAAAAAAAAAAAAAAAAAAAAAGAGAAAGGTTGTCGAAAAAATTTCATCCCCCTCGGAGGGAAAGTGTGTGGCTTACAGATACAAGGGTGATGCCCGTACATTTTGGGTGTCGAGGGGATGAGGGAATGAGTATAAAGTCTGCGGTAGCAGATAAGGCCAAGGGGATGCTAGGGGGTTGGAAGGGGGTTGTGGACGAAGAAAAGAGGAGAGAAGAAAGCGCCTGGGGCCATAACTCGCGCGTCCGCCGCAACTGCAATTCGACCCTATATTTAATTTCACGTGAAAAAGAGGGATGAGAGGAGATGGGAGTGAGTAGCGCATCAGGGATGGAGGTGGAAATATCCGAGGGATAGGAGAAACGAGAAGGAATTGTCGTTTAATCTAGCCGCGATCCTATCTCGGGGAGAATTTATCATTCGATAAATTGCTGGGGGCTGTATATCAAGCACTTCCTGCCGAACCCGTCAATATTGGAGCAGTCGCTTCCGAGTGCTTTCTAACGGAATGTGAAAGGCTTTTCATTTTTCAAGGAAATTTTCAGAAAATGTCACGACCAAAAAAAAATCGCAGGAATCAAATTCGATTCAATAGGTTTACCCTGGTAAAAAAATTGTAATCGGAATATTTTTCCCAAATTTACCAAAAATTTCTGGAAAATTTTTTCGAATTTTTTGAGAATATTGAAAAATCAAAAAAGTAAGAAAAGATCAGTATGATTAAAAGAAAAAATTATACTCGCAAAAATTTCTCGAGAATTATCAAAAAAAATTTCCTATTCAAATTTTTGAAAAATTTTCCAAAAATACAATTGTTTTGATTCCCGATTTTTTTTTGTTTCAAAAAAAAATGTTCTGAAAAGTTTTCCAGAAATTTTTAGAAAACTTGGAAAAAATATTCCGACTTAAATTTCTTTTTACGCTGGTATTTATTTTATTTGACTCGGATCAATTTCTAGAATTAATTACCACACGTCAAGTTGATCAATTTTTGTTCCATGAAAAATGCGAGTGTCCTTGAAAGGATAATGGCGGATGAATCTCGATAGGTTCGATCCCTTTAATCGCGCCCTCTCATCGTCCAGTTGAATCAACGATCGAAAACCTAGGGTAGGAAGGGAGTAAATCGAGCATAGGGGTTGGTACGTGTAATTGCTGCTTTATGAATCGTATCCTCTCGACTCTCAGCCTTTGGTCCGCCACCCCGTGGCTATTTCCGTGTAATTCACACCCTTCCTCCCTTAATCCACCCAATTTCTCCGTCAACTCTCAACTCAGTGCTCCCCTCACTCAATTAAAACCCGCGCCACTTGCTTTCATTTTCACTCTTTTACGTTCAAAATAATTTTTCGCGTGTCAAATATTGAATTTCAAATTCAAGGGACTCGTCCTTACTCAACCCACTGCAACACTCGACTACAATTTCTCCAGAATAAAAACTGGGGAACTCTCCCCCCCTAAAAAAAAATGGGGCACCCGTGCTTTTACGACTGCCGCTTACGGTTCATCCCTCGGACGGGTCTGGAGTCACTCGAGGAGTCATAAAACCGTATTTTTTTTTTCAAGTACCCCAAAAAAAAAAGGTATTGTCCGGGCAAGTTGGCCGGTTTTATTGACGAGAAAAGGCAGACTTGGGGCCTAAAAGTCCAATAGAAGACCCTCCGTTTATCTGCAATAGTTTTTATTGCGAGACCATGGGAGACACCTCAGTCTCCCGTTGACCACCGCGCGCGTGCAATGTTCCCGTCAAAAATTCAATCCAAAAATCTAAAATCCTAACTTTTCTAAAATTAAAGTGATTAATCAACGAATTCGAGGCAGCCTTCAAGTGTGATTTTGCGAGAAGTGGAAAGAGTCAAAGCGAGGGAGCGCATTGAAATAAATGACACAGTTAATCCGAAAGAATAATTACCTCATTAAATCAACTCCAGAAACATAGGGCAGTGAATTGTTGTTGAAACACTGACGAATTGAATTCAATTCGTCAATGTCGAGTGATATCTTGACAGGGGGAAGGTCACTGAACTCATATAACAATCCGTCGGTGTCCCGGATTCATCGTGGAGCTGATCTAGTTTGAACGTGATGACAGTTATGCATCTCGCATTGCAATGCCGGCCAACTGGGGTGATGTCATACATCACAACTGCCCGGTAGCGCCAAATTCTCCTTCCCTGTCCACCCAATCTCCCCTCTCTACCACCCCCTTCACCAATCACAACCCCCACCCTCTCCCACCCTCTCCCACCCTCTCCCACCCGCTCCCACCGCTCCCTACCACCCCATTCACCATCTCTCGCGACATTTTCTCCCCACCTCCTGGTAGTATACAGTTGCCTCCCGTGATATAGGTACACGTGCCACCCTCGATGTACCGGTGAGTGCACTATTGCGTAATACAGTGCTGCCATATTACCCTCGTTGTTGGATAGGGTATCCCACCTTCTCTTCTCCAATTGCACTTTCCCCTGCGTTCAGAACTCCCACTACCGGTGCTGAGGGCAACTAATGTACTACCGACTCCTCGTTAAATCGCACAACATTACGCGGAAACGCGACAATGCCTCCGGCACTCATTACGGAATTATGTGGTTGCGATGGACTCAATCATCTGGCAGTACTCGAATAATTTGGTAATACCCACGAATGATTAATTTTTAAAAACGAAAAAAAAAAAAAACGGTTGAAAAAAACGCACGACATTACGCGATGCCGCGTCATGCATGACAAATTCACTGCGGAAAAATTTAATTGTAATGAAGTCACGCGGGCAACTGTTTTTTTTTATTCCAAAAATATAAAGACTATTTTAAAAAACGCACGACATCGCGCGGAAACGCGTGATGCAGAAAACGGAGAGATTTCATCCAGAAAATTTTAAACTGCTTTGCAATTTTATAACGGTTTTATATTTTCAATGAGGCTAAAAATTCAGTATTCCCTTGTCATCAAACTAATCCACTCAGTCAGTTTTAAATAAGTATTACCCAACGGACGTTCTCCAACATTTTTTTCTATTCGACAACTGCCATTCAAGTGTGATGAATGGCAAAGTTACCTCTGCGTATAGTAAACAGTCTGATTGCTCAATTCACATGCGAATGAGAGCCGATCTCCCCAACTGGTTCTTATCAAGATCAATTGCGTGTGGAATAATGATTCGGCATCGAAGTCGAGTGTATCGACGCTGTATTTCGATAGTTGTGCAGTGGGCGAATGACAGCGTAAAATAAATCCAGCGAAATGCTTCTCTGTCAGACACTAGACAGGAGACTAGCTCCCAGCGTTAATATTTTTTACAATCAGCCCCAGGGAAATGCCGCAATGTCCCGAGCGTGACTTCCAGATCATTAGGCATGTAAATCAGTCCAGAAATAATTTTTTGAAAAATGTCTAAACCCGTTGAATGTGTTGAGCCCCTGGATTAATTTTATAAATCAACATTCATGAAAAAAAAAGTTCGTATACACAAATACTTTGTTAATTCCATCAAAGAGCCCATCGGACCATGAAAAATCCCATTCAAACGTAAAAATTATTCTCCACCTCGCTCGCATACCCTCGTCTATTGGCCAACAGTCCCATTGTCAATTCTTTTTTTCCCATTTTTTTTTTCTCATCCACAAAGGAATGCGGATCGTGACCCCAGCTCACATGAGAAAGAGGGTGTGATCGGCAGGCTCCACCCCACGCTGGGCCTAGAATTCTCCAAAATATCCTCTAAACATTTTTCCCCCCTTTTTTTACCCTGACACCATGTGGCTACCCCAAAAAATCGTAGGAGGAGCCCAAAATGCAAATTGGATGCTTTCTCACGTACGAAGCACCCATTAATCTAGGATTTGAGACGTCCCAAAAGCGTCCCAAATCTGACGAATATCTACGGAATAAAATACCGGAAATATTACGCGAAAAAATGACATTCCAACATTAATTCCTGATTAACCAAAATATTTCTCATTTATTCCCCCCAAAATTTTGAATTAATCTCTGATGCTGAGACTTCATGAATTATTTAATTACCTCAACAAAATCCCCTAAACAACATTAATTTTACATCGCCTTTTTATGGTAATTCCATCGCACTATTTTTAAACGTATGAAAGCAGAAGTACCTCTTAATTCCCAACAATAGACAATTAAATATTCATCATCGTGCGCGGTATCCCACAATAATTGAATTGATCCCGTCCTCAGAATGATTAACCCGAGATGTCACCCATAGATCAAGCCAGAGAAGACAAATAGCCAGTGCTCCTCCGCATAATTCGAATAATCCATGTAACGTATGCCAGCAGAGAGAAGAGTATCCCTGAAAGGAGTGAGCACTCCCCTTCGATCTAATCCCGAATTAATAAACCAATTCTTAATAATTCCCGAAGTCCTGGCCAATGGGGTTGGACGCGAGATGGCGTTCATCACTCGACACGGCATCATCAGATGATGGTGAAGGGGTCTGACCCCACCCCATCCCCCAGGCAACCCTCGTCCGTCCCCCAATTTACCCCATCACGAGAGCCAACTGTGGCAGACAGGTCCAGGAGTCCCTGGGACCGCCATAGTAAATCAGACGGTCGCAGGCGGTCCTTCTGATCTGGTCCAGCATCTCTCAGACTAGTCCGTCTCACTTCAGACCATTTTAGATCCTCCAGTCGAATAAACTCACCAGTTTAAACTCCAGTGATCACTTATAGCTCATAAAACCTCATAACTCAGCTCAAGGCACGTGCCCGACGCTCAGAGACATCCCCTGCATCATCCTGATCACTCAAACTCACGGAACAATTCGCTCTTGTCTCGCTCAAGTGATATTTGTGTTTTGTGTTGTGCTTTTGGTGGTTTATGAGCTCGGAATTGAAGAACTGGCGATTGAGCGATGGCGACGCATCATGGAAGCTGATTCTCATCAGGAATACGTCAGGTAGAGTCGAATGTCCTTGAGATTTTTTTTTTATCGGTGTCTGGCGTGGGGATTTCACCGCCGATCACGCGAATCAATTCGGTAGATGATATGTCTTTGATATCCGGTGGCATGTCCTCCAATTGATGGGCAATCCATGGATATCGAAGAACAAATCATCCATTCAACCGATTGATGTCGTAAAAATTGAGAGGTAGCACTCAGACTTATCAGTTATATCATCACTGTCGGCATAAAATTATCTTTCAATGATAATCCTCTGCAATAAATCTAATATTATATAAAAAATAAATTCCTCTATTCAAAATCAATAATTAATAATTTTCACGTATTCCCTTTTACAAATTAATTATCTCAAACCTTCCATTTAATACAAATTTGAAATCGATAAAAAAATTATCTAGAAATTGGATAAAATCTCAAATAAAAAATGGACGTGAATATATTTTTGATTGCATTCTCTTTTTAACTTTGAAATATTGTGAAAAAAAATAGTCTGCGTCTGATAATTTACTCGGCGATAAATTCTTCAAAAAACCTTGAATTCATAATCCATCGAAATTGATAAACAGCTGGAAGTCGTTGGAGACTAGTTGAAAACGAATGTAGCGAGTGCATTACAGTGAATATATACCCGTTCAGCATTACATCGCTGATGTATGTTCACAGGAACGATCGATCTCTCTCACACGAACTGCTAATTGTGCGGCGTCATAACTCTCCGCGGGTTCACCCCCTCCCCAGTGCCCCCAAGTACGCATGTATTTACCCTTACCTATATACACCACACATACACATACATAGAATGAGGAAGAGTAAGTGCACTCGTGGTGTACACCTGTAACTACCACGTTCCAACGGGCTTTAATTGAAGCTCGCTGTTATGGATTGTTTGTTTGCCCCTTTTTTCCTCATTCTCCTCTTACCCCACCCCCCAACTCACCCCCAAATTTTTTTCTCAACAATTGTGGATTGTCCTGGAGATCTACGACGAAAGTACGATCTAAAGTTTATTAGCATTCGGACGCACGAAGAAATGAGAAGTCCGAGGTTAAGTAGAGCGTGACTCCATCGGAGGGTTAAGAACGGGGGAATGATAAAATGGGGGATGGAGTGGTGCCAGGAATGGCGTGACGTTGAGAAAAGCGGGCCATTGATCGTGGTCTGAGGAATTTTTTTTTTTTCCAACCCCAATATCCCAACGGGAGAAATGAAAATAGCAAGGAGCGAGAAAGTTTTTCCCAACCAGTAAAAACAAAAAAGATGTTATTGATTAAGTTTGAAAACCACTTGGTCTAACTCTATCAGGTTCATTTGAAAATTTACGTTGTTTTAGTAATCAGTAAAGTTTTATGGAGAAGATGTACGATCGTCTCTCGTACTCGATAAGGTATCCACAAAGACGATAGTTTTCTTCGGTGAAAATTTTCCCTTCTCTCCCACTTTACTTTCCCATCGCTCTTGTCTGGTGCGGTGTTTTTTTTTTTTTTTTCGTTGGAAAAGTTTGCATATTTTTTTTTTCACGCTCACCCCCCGGGCGACACAGCACAACCATCTCCAAGTCGTATATACGAGGCATGTATAAGCACCTATGAGATAGGAAAAAGTGGGGGCGGGCGACGAGGGGTAAGAGGGGCGAGACAGTGAAAGGGAGGAAAAAGAAGTGGGAGGTACGCGAATAATAAAAATCGTCCGGCATAAATCAAACGGACAACGCCGAGGGGATGGGACTTCTCTTTCTTGGGTGCTTCTTATCTCGGGTACATAGTGCGAGAAGAAACCGAGGGAATGACATTACCGTCGTGGCTATTCCCTGCACTTCACAACATTCTTCATTCTCAAATATATACATGAGAAATTATACGCCTTGGGACACGTGATTACATCGATAACCATTGATTACAAACGAGAGCGATAATTTGGTTCATTAAGGCGTGCCCCTCTCCCTCCCCCCCACGTGCCCCAGATTTTGGTCAATTGCGTTATTGTTGAATATTTGGACATACGGCATTATCAGCGTGACTGCGTTGTTGATGTAAATAATTTATTATTTGAGAGATTTGTTTGTAATTTGTTTATAATTCATAATGACTCCCACAACGGGTACGATAATTGTGCTATTATTGACGAACTGCTTTTTGCATAATTTTTCGTGTTATCTTAGAACGCTCCAGTGACTGGGGTTGATA